TCATAGAACTCCAGTAGGTTTGTGACACAGGATTTCCCGTCCCTGAAACCATGTTGGCTGCTGTTGATGAGATCGTTCCTTTCTAGGTGTTCCACCACTCTTCTCCTGATAATCTTCTCCATGATTTTGCATACTATACATGTCAGTGACACTGGTCTGTAGTTTAATGTTTCATGTCTGTCTACTTTTTTAAAGATTGGGACTACATTTGCTGTCTTCCATGCCTCAGGCAATCTCCCTGTTTTGATAGATGTATTGAATATTGTTGTTAGGGGTACACATAGCGCCTCTGCTCCCTCTCTCAATACCCATGGGGAGATGTTATCTGGCCCCATTGCCTTTGAGGTATCTAGCTCACTCAGAAGCCTCTTCACTTCTTCCTCGGTTGTGTGCACTGTGTCCAGCACATGGTGGTGTGCCCCACCTCTCCGTCTTTCTAGAGTCCCTTCTGTCTCCTCTGTGAACACTTCTTTGAATCTCGTTGAGTTCCTCACATACTTCACGGTCATTTCTTGTTGTCTCTCCTCCTTCCTTCCTTAGCCTGATTACCTGGTCCTTGACTGTTGTTTTCCTCCTGATGTGGCTGTACAACAGTTTCGGGTCAGATTTGGCTTTCGCTGCTATGTCGTTTTCATATTGTCTTTGGGCCTCCCTTCTTATCTGTGCATATTCGTTTCTGGCTCTATGACTGCTCTCCTTATTCTTCTGGGTCCTTTGCCTTCTATATTTCTTCCATTCCCTAGCACACTTGGTTTTTGCCTCCCTGCACCTTTGGGTAAACCATGGGCTCATCCTGGCTTTTTCATTATTCCTGTTACCCTTGGGTACAAACCTCTCCTCAGCCTCCTTGCATTTTGTTGCTACATATTCCATCATCTCATTAACTGGCTTCCCTGCCAGTTCTGTCCCACTGAACCCCGTTCAGGAAGTTCCTCATTCCTGTGTAGTCCCCTTTCTTGTAGTTTGGCTTCATTCGTCCTGGCCTTCCTGCTTCTCCCTCCACTTGTAGCTCTACTGTGTATTCGAAGCTTAAAACCACATGGTCACTGGCCCCAAGGGGTCTTTCATATGTGATGTCCTCGATATCTGCACTACTCAAGGTGAATACTAAGTCCAGCCTTGCTGGTTCATCCTCTCCTCTCTCTCTTGTAGTGTCCCTTACGTGTTGGCACATGAAGTTTTCCAGTACCACCTCCATCATCTTAGCCCTCCATGTATCTTGGCCCCCAGGTGGGTCCAAGTTCTCCCAATCGATCTCCTTGTGGTTAAAGTCACCCATGATCAGGAGCTTTGCCCTGCATGCATGAGCTCTTCTGGCCACTCTAGCCAGTGTGTCAACCATCGCTCTATTGCTCTCGTCGTACTCTTGCCTTGGCCTCCTGCTGTTCTGTGGTGGGTTATACATCACTGCTATTACCACCTTGGGACCTCCAGAGTGAAGCGTTCCCGCTATGTAATCACTTTCTTCTCCGCTGTCTCCTCTCTCCAGCTCATCAAAATTCCAGCGATTTTTGATCAGCAATGCCACTCCTCCACCCCCCCTGTTCCCTCTGTCTTTCCTCAGGATTTAGTATCCCATTGGAAAGATGGCATCTGTTATCATACCTGTAAGCTTCGTTTCTGAGAGAGCTATGATGTCCGGTGATGCTTCTTTGACTCTTTCATGCCACTCCTCCCACTTATTTGTTATTCCATCAGCGTTTGTGTACCATACCTTCAGTTTCCTTTCCAACACTGTGGTTTGGGGGGCCTGTGAGGGTGGGAGACCTGGTGGCATACTGTGGGATTCTATAGCTCGGTGTTGGGTGGAGGTTGTGGGTATGGATTGTAGTGTGTGTTGGGATGGTGTGATAGGTTGTATGGTTCTGAGAATAGTTGTGTGTGTGCTTGCCCTTGCTGTTCTGTTCTGCTCTGACTGACCTCTGCTGGTTCCCTCCTTGTCTCTTTTCCTAGCTCCTTTCGCTTTTTTGTCCTCTCCCTCAGCTGCTGTCGTTCTGATTTTGTTCTGTCTCTGTCTAGGAACACCCTCTTGTACTCTTCCGAGTATTTCAATCATGGTTTCTCTTGGAGGATCCTGTTCCGCACTGTTTCCGTCCTGAGAATCAGCTTGATTGGTCGGTTTCTCCCCTTCGAGTACCCCTCTATTCTCTGAAAATTTACAATCTCGTCCATCTCTTCACCTATTTCCGTGACGATTTTCTCGATCTCCTTTCTTTCTTCCTGCTGCCTTTCAGTGTGTGTCCTTTCCTCTCTCTCCTGAAGCCCATGTGTGTGTGTGTGTGTGTTCTCACCTATTTGTGGTTGCAGGGGTCAAGTCATAGCTCCTGGCCCTGCCTCTTCACTGATTGCTACTAGGTTCTGTCTCTCTCTCCCTGCTCCATGAGCTTTATCAAACCTTGTCTTAAAACTATGAATGGTTCCCACCTCCACTACATCACTTTCTAGGCTATTCCACTGCCTGACTACTCTATGACTGAAGAAATACTTCCTAACATCCCTTTGATTCATCTGAGTCTTCAACTTCCAATTGTGACCTCTTGTTTCTGTGTCCCATCTCTGGAACATCCCGTCTTTGTCCACCTTGTTTATTCCACGCAGTATTTTATATGTCGTTATCATGTCTCCCCTTGACCCTCCTGTCCTCCAGTGTCGTCAGGCCGATTTCCCTTAACCTTTCTTCGTAGGACAATCCCCTTAGCTCTGGGACTAGCCTTGTTGCAAACCTTTGCACTTTCTCTAGTTTCTTTATGTGCTTGGTTAGGTGTGGGTTCCAAACTGGTGCTGCATACTCCAATATGGGCCTAACGTACACTGTGTACAGGGTCCTGAATGATTCCTTATTAAGATGTCGGAATGCTGTTCTGAGGTTTGCTAGGTGCCCATATGCTGCAGCAGTTATTTGATTGATGTGTGCCTCAGGAGATGTGCCTAGTTTTATTCTCATCCCAAGATCTTTTTCCTTGAGTGAGGCTTGTAGTCTCTGGCCCCCTAGACTGTACTTCGTCTGCAGTCTTCTTTGCCCTTCCCCAATCTTCATGACTGTGCATTTCGTGGGGTTGAACTCCAGGAGCCAATTGCTGGACCAGGTCTGCAACCTGTCCAGATCCCTTTGTAGTTCTGCCTGGTCTTCCATCGAATGAATTCTTCTTATCAACTTCATGTCATCTGCAAACAGGGACACTTTGGAGTCTATTACATGTACTTCCGTCATGTCATTCAAAAATACCAGAAGCAGCACTGGTCCTAGGACTGACCCCTGTAGGACCCCGCTGGTCACAGGCACCCACTCTGACACCTCGCCACGTACCATGACTCACTGCTGTCTTCCTGACAAGTATTCCCTTATCCATTGTTTACCTGGAGAGAGTTCCGGGGGTCAACGCCCCCGCGGCCCGGTCTGTGACCAGTGCCTTCCCTGTTATCCCTGCTTGGTCCTCCAGTTTTTGCACTAATCTCTTGTGTGGAACTGTGTCAAACACCTTCCGTGTGTGTGTGTGTGTGTACTCACCTAATTGTAGTTGCAGGGGTCGAGACTCAGCTCCTGGCCCTGCCTCTTCACTGAACGCTACTCCCTGCTCCACGAGCTTTATCATACCTCGTCTTAAAGCTATGTATGGTTCTTGCCTCCACTACATCGCTCGCCAGACTGTTCCACTTCCTGACCACTCTATGACTGAAGAAATGTTTCCTAACATCCCTGTGACTCATCTGAATCTTCAACTTCCAAGAGTGGCCCCTTGTTTCTGTGTCCCCTCTCTGGAACATCTTGTCTCTGTCCACCTTGTCTATTCCATGCAGTATTTTGTATGTCATTATCATGTCTCCCCTATCCCTCCTTCCTCCAGTGTCGTGTCGTCAGGCCGATTTCCGTCAACCTTTCTTCATAGGACATTCCCCTTAGCTCTGGAACTAACCTTGTCGCAAACCTTTGCACTTTCTCTAATTTCTTAACGTGCTTGACCCAGTGCGGGTTCCAAACTGGTGCTGCATACTCCAGTATGGGCCTGACGTACATGGTGTACAGTGTCTTGAAAGATTCCTTTCTTAGGTATCGAAATGTTAATCTCAGGTTTGCCAGGTGCCCATATGCTGCAGCAGTTATCTGGTTGATGTGTGCTTCTGGAGACGTGTTCGGTGTTATACTCACGCCAAGATCTTTCTCCTTGAGCGAGGATTGCAGTCTTTGGCCACCTAGCCTATACTCTGTCTGCGGTCTTCTTTGCCCTTCTCCGATCTTCATGACTTTGCATTTGGCAGGGTTGAATTCGAGAAACCAGGCCGTCCATGTGTGAAGTGGGAGCTTTAGTCACCAGGCCTGGTGACTTATTAACCCTTAAACGGTCCAAACATATACAGTGGACCCCCGCTTAACGATCACCTCCCAATGCGACCAATTATGTAAGTGTATTTATGTAAGTGCGTTTGTACGTGTATGTTTGGGGGTCTGAAATGGACTAATCTACTTCACAATATTCCTTATGGGAACAAATTTGGTCAGTACTGGCACCTGAACATACTTCTGGAATGAAAAAATATCGTTAAACGGGGGTCCACTGTATATATGTTTTTTTTCAACATCTGAAAGTATGTAAAAAAATGTAGATCTTCTTTTTTGTTTTACATTTGAAAACGTGTAAAATAAACTTTTATATACATTTTTTTTTTATATTTGAAAATATGTAAAAAAAAGTAGATCTACTTTTGTAGCACTACGAATTTGAACGTCGATCTCTTTGGACCGTTTAAGGGTTAAATTACAATTTACAGTATAACAATAAAAAGGTGGTATCAAGAAAACATTCTAAAAAATAAAATTACAGTGCAATATTATGCAATGTATGATAGTATTATTACATGTACTATATATGTATAAAATATTTATAGCCAGTTTCAAAAGCTGGTAATTATTGTTAATAGCTGCAATGGTGACCAGTATATACTTACACTTGTGCTAACTATAGGCATGTCTAACAAGTAAAAAAAAGGAAATAACACCATACCATTTTCCGTCGAATCGTCAAATAATTTCAATTCCTTTGCAATGTTCACCAGGAAAGCATCAGTATGACGATCAGAAACCTCAGCCTTCACTAGGGATTCTATATCCATCCTGGATGACTATAAAGATAAGAGTACCAGGCATAAATACTAGTCAGGTTTAAAACAACTAAAGCAATTAGTTATGCAACAACTATGCCAGCCATAATGCTTTGCTTATGTTCATCTAAATATTATCTCAAGTATTTTCATCCATCCCCAAAATGGAATTAGCAAGCTTTTCATTAGCTTAAAATTTTGGTCTTATTATTATTAAATTTTTTAGGAAGAATTATTTGTAGATGACCTTGTTTAATCTTGCCTTGCACATCTTAATTTCAGTAAATTCATACCACTGTAAAATCTTTAAAAGTGCAGAATTTTATAATGATAACTAAATAAAATTGAACCCACCACTACTGTGGAATTATGTTTGAAATTTCATTTAGCTTTTTTATTTACTAAATAAAAAACTTCAGGGGAAGTTATGTAAGGAAGAATGCAAGATGAAAGGCTCCAACACTCATTAGGGATGCAAGAGGTTTCTTAGGTTACTTGTGCACTATATGCCACCTACCCTGAAGATTAAATGTCTAAATTTCATTACAGAAAGCTTGGATTAAAATGTAATAGAAAATGACTGAAGCACAGCAAAAAAAAAAAAAAAAAAAAAAAAATATGAATAAAAATATGAAATACAGGTAAGAGATATCAGTATACAGTGGAACCTCAGCTTACGAACGCCCCACCATGTGAACTTTTCAGGATACGAACCATCGTTCAGTCGATATTTTGCTTCTGGATACGAAAAAAAATTCAGAATGCGTACTTACCCTTCAAGGGAGGTTCCTAAAATATATAAATAAAATATTTATTTTTTTGCAAAGGTTACAATGTGTGTTCACATATCATAATATGACTGGAGCAAAGAAAGCCACTATCAATTGAGGCATTTTGGGCAGACTTAACTTAATACTTAAAGACTACTTAAGTCTAGACAGATGAATAGTGGTGGTTACCAATGTTTTGCTGATGGTGACACTAACTACTGGCAGCCTTTTGAAGTTTCTCCTTACTCTTATTATTATTACAGTACACCTATCATCTGACTTATGACCGAGCTTGGTTCCGACCAATTGGTCGTAAGTCAAAATGGACATAAGTCGAACCTTACTACTGAATATGAACATCACATTTTTGTTATGATTTTATTTTATTGTTTTATTTTGGTATTTCATTTTTTACTTTACTTTTATGCTGTTAGTACTGTATTTTATACTGCAAGGTTTAGGATAAACACTGTGTACAACACAAACAGTTGTTTATTTCCCAGAAATTTGGCATACAAAACATTGTCTTAAGTCTAGTGGTTGTTTGTCGAGCAGGTCGTAAGTCGGATAGTAGGTGTACTATTACATTGTATTATTATTATTATTGTTATAATAATTATGTACAACTATGATATACTCCTTAGTGTTAAGTAGTCTGTAAGCCAATAATGTTAAGTTGGCCCATAATGCCTAGGCATAATAGAGGCTCTCTTTGCATTGCAACCCACTATTGTAAATACAAAATCTCAATGTACTGTTTGCAAAGACATAAAATAAATAAAATAAATAAATAAATAAAATAATAAATTAGTAGTAGTAGCAGTATGTACATGGTGAGGGGCTCTTGATCTAGGGAATTTGATCTATGTTCCAGTTCCCTAAATTAAGCCTGAATACCTTCCATCCCCTCCCCCCCACAAGTGCTTCCCCATAATAATAATAATAATAATAATAATAATAATAATATGTATAATAATAATACAGTAGGGCCCCACTTATTTGGCAGGTTAGGTTCCAGGCTACTGCAGGAAAGCAAACTTCACCGGAAAGCAGAACTCCATTTTTTCCATTTATAAATGCATATAAATGCCAGGTAGCAAGTTTACACTAACATATACAGTGGACCCTCGACCAACGATGGCATCGATTAACGATAAATTCAACTAGCGATACATTTTAACACAAAATTTTTGCCTCGACTAGTGCTAAAAAACTCGACCAACACTATTCGTTCCGTCTGAGACGCGTCCACTTCTGGCCAGTGTTTACAAGCCAGCCAGCCACCGCAGTCGCTTTCAAGCATACAATCGGAACATTTCACATTATCACAGCCTTTTTAGTGATTGCAACTGCAAAATAAGTCACCATGGGCCCCAAGAAAGCTTCTAGTGCCAACCCTACAGCAAAAAGGGTGAGAATTACTATGGATATGAAGAAAGAGATCATTGCTAAGTATGAAAGTGGAGTGCGTGTCTCCGAGCTGGCTAGGTTGTACATAAAACCCCAATCAACCATTGCTACTATTGTGGCCAAGAAAACGGCAATCAAGGAAGCTGTTCTTGCCAAAGGTGCAACTATGCTTTCGAAACTGAGATCGCAAGTGATAGAAGATGTTGAGAGACTGTTATTGGTGTGGATAAACAAAAAACAGATAGCAGGAGATAGCATCTCTCAAGCGATCATATGTGAAAAGGCTAGGAAGTTGCATGAGGATTTAATTAGAAAAATGCCAGCAACTAGTGGTGATGTGAGTGAATTTAAGGCTAGCAAAGGTTGGTTTGAGAGATTTAAGAATCGTAGTGGCATACATAGTGTGATAAGGCATGGTGAGGCTGCCAGTTTGGACCAAAAAGCAGCTGAAAAATATGTGCAGGAATTCAAGGAGTACATAGACAGTGAAGAATTGAAACCTGAACAAGTGTTTAATTGTGACACTGACAATGTTGTGAAACACTTTAGGAATGTCATTTTTAAACCGGAGGTACAGGCCTCTATTGACAGATATGTTGTGCGACAGAGGTCCAGTGACTCTCAAGCAGGTCCTAGTGGCATTAAAAGAAGAAGGGAAGTAACCCCGAAAAAGGACTTGCCACCTCAAGTCCTAATGGAAGGGGATTCCCCTTCTAAACACTAACACCATCCACAGTCTCCCGTCCTCCCATCCCATCAATCATCACCAGATCTTCAATAAAGGTAAGTGTCATGTAACTGTGCATGTCTTCTTCAGTTTGTGTGTATTAAAATTAATATTTCATTTGGTAAAAATTTTTTTTTTCAATACTTTTGGGTGTCTTGCAAGGATTAATTTGATTTCCATTATTTCTTATGGGGAAAATTAACTCGACTAACAATAATTCCGATTAACGATGAGCTCTCAGGAACGGATTAATATCGCTAGTCGAGGGTCCACTGTATTAAGTTAGCAATAGAACTAGGCAATAAAAAGTAAAATACACACACAGTATGTACACTCATTATTTACCTTAAAATACTTGTAGTCTTAATATAGGGAAAAAGGTGAGTAGTATTTACTCAAAGAAGTCAGGTGTGGTAACCATCCTGGCCACCCCACCCACACATACTATATTACGATGCTTAAGCTCCCTAGAGCGATAGAATCCATATACAGTACACGCATTACTTGCCTTAAAATGTTTGTAGTCTTAATGTAGGGTGGGAGGTGAAAAGTATTTATTTATAGAAAGCCGTGTGGGAGGTATGGCATCCTGCCTGGCCACTTATACCTACTACGACATTAAGCTCCCTAGAGCAATAAAATGCATATATGTATAGTACACTCATTAATTACCTTAAAATATTTGTGGTCTTAATGTAAGGTGAGAGGTGATAATAATAGGAATAATAATAATAATAATAATATATGTATAATAATAAAAATTTAATACATATAATAATATAATAATAATACATATAATAATAATAATACGTATAATACAATAATACTTATAATAATATAATTATAATAATACGTATAATAACATAATTATAATAATACGTATAATAATACAATAATAATGTACTATAATAATAATTATAATAATAAACAGCTTTGAAAAGCTATCATTAGATGGCAGCGAATACCACAACAATGCAGGAGCGGTTATCGCCGCCTCCACTTGCCATATTATGGCCTATTTTATTCATTCTATAGCAGTATATATCATGTTTCTATGCTATCTATATTGTTTATTATGCTATTTTAGATCAATTATGATAGAAAAATGAACCATACCCCCGGCCGGGATTGAACCCGTGCTAACTTTCCTATGGTGTAGAAATATACCTAGTTGGATGAATCTTATTGTGGCTAGCTGGTCTAGTGGCTAGCGCGACGGGCTGGAGTTTTGAGACTCTATGACCGCGGGTTCAATCCCGGCCGGGGGTATGGTTTATTTGCAATCGTGTCATTACGATTTCTTAAGTCATGTTTACGGCAGTGAAGGGACTTGAGCTAGAGTTCGTCACGGCCACGCTAGCTGGAGATTCGTCTGTAAAAACTTGCATTTGTGGTCACAGAGGTGCCTGTGCTAACTTTCCTATGGTGTAGAAATATACCTAGTTGGATGAATCTTATTGTGGCTAGCTGGTCTAGTGGCTAGCGCGACGGGCTGGAGTTTTGAGACTCTATGACCGCGGGTTCAATCCCGGCCGGGGGTATGGTTTATTTGCAATCGTGTCATTACGATTTCTTAAGTCATAGAAAAATGAACTGTAGAGTTGATATTAGCATTATATTGAATGTATTTTTCCTGCCTCTGAGATCAGGAACTCTGCCAGAACGGATTATTGGCTTTTCCATTAATTTAAATGAGGAAAATTAACTCAGCATACGAACAAGGTCACAGAACGGATTAAGTTCGTAAGCAGAGGTTCCACTGTATTTTGGTCTCAGTCAGAGATCTACTGAAAAGGGTCTCTGATTTAGACCACAATATACAAATCTCGTTAAGTACATTTCAAATTTCTGTCCATGTTGTCCTTCACTTTTCATTACAGTGGTACAATGCAAATTAAGTCAGGTATAGAGTTATGCAAACTGTTTTAAATAGTGACAAAAACCTTGACGTCTTCCATATTAACGCCACTCTCATTTCCAAGGCAAGGAAAGAAGTCATCATAACTGTCGGAGTCACTATCTTCACATGAAAACTCTTTACTTTTTTCCATGTTTTATCTGTAAACAAAAAAAATAAGTTAATGTTTGTAGAGGGGATAGAGTTCAATGGATTAATAAGACATTCATTAGCTTTATCTTGAATTGTATAATGCTGTTACTGGCTTTGACATTATTAGGCAACCGCTTCCAATCTTTTCCAGCTGTGTAGTAATTGTTGTTCAGTATCTACCCACCAATTTTCCGACTATATTTTATAGACCAGAGTTTGGTTACCTAACTCCATGATAGCTAAGCAAGTTTGGGAGGCCTTCATTAATCAGAGACTGGTTACAACACACCATTTAAGAAATCCACATTAATGTGGAAAATAATTTCTAGTGCCAGTCCTTAACCTTACTGCCCTGTGTGAGGTAAAGTTAAAGCCTTACACTTATTACACTTGTTAAGGCCTTACATTTGTTTACACTAAGACAGGCCCGTGTTACAACTTAATAGTAAGTTTATTTAGGTACACGTACACATAAGTACAGTGGACCCCCGCATAACGATCAGCTCCCAACTCGACCAATTATGTAAGTGTATTTTTGTAAGTGCTTTTGTAGGTGTATTTTTTGGGGTCTGAAACGGACTAATCTAATTCACAATATCTCTTATGGGAACAAATTCGGTCTATAACGGCACCCAAACAGACTTCTGGATTGAAATAATATCGTTATCCGGGGGTCCACTGTACGTACAATTATCATATAGTTACATACCTGTAAATTAACTAGGATAACCCTAAAAAAAAAAAGTCAAAGTAACTTATTTCCATTGGGGTCTTTATGTTGACTGACTCATAAATGCTCTACAACCAAAATGAGTGTACAGTGGAACCTTGAGTCTCGGCCACCCCAAGTTTCAGCTGTTTTGAGTTTCAGTCACTTATTTTGGCTAAATTTTATCTTATGTTTCGAACAGTAACTTGAGTTTCGGCCATCATACCAGACCTGTATTTATAATTGTTTTGTGTTTGTAAAACTATGGTTATTCTTTAACTCTTAACCCTTTCAGGGTCCGTGCCATAGATCTATGGCTTTACGTTCAGGGTCCAAACCGCAGATCTATGCCATGAGCTCAGCTCACTCTGATAAGCTGTGAGTGGTAAATTTGGGCCTAGATATGAGAGAATACATCTATGTGGTATGTGTGCATCACATAAAACAAATCCTGCAGCACACAGTGTATAATGAGAGAAAAAACTGAGACCGTGATTTTCGATTAAAACAGCAACTTTGCAGTGTATTTTTGTATGTTTTTTATAGTTGTATTTGCGATTTTTATAGTTGTACTTGATAGAATGGAAGACATATTACAGAAGTAGAGATGATTTTGATTGGTTTTAGCACTGAAAATGGCTTGAAACTGAGCTCAAAGTAGAGGAAATGTTAAATTTTTCCTGACGTTCAAGAGTAAACAAACAAACAACCTCACACGTCTAATACACGCCAGCTGGTGGATCTAATATACATTCACAAATGTGGTGGTGATATTTATACAATTATTACAATATTGCATAACAGTAAATCTTCTATTTTTTGGTTTGAATAAAAATTCATTATGTGAATAAAAAATCAAAATGGAATTCATTTGTAAAGCCTCAAAACATAACTAATGAACAGAGGAAATGTTGGTTTAATGCCAGGAATACCTACATTGTTTATTCTGGACCCTCTTTTGAAATTGGAATATTTTGAACTTTGTGTAAAATTGGCCAAATTACCAATTTCCGATCACTTTATTTTGTAGTTGAAACAGTTGACTTGGTGATTTCTTGTGCTCAATCAATAGAAGTAATACTAGTGAAATAGCTAAGAATTTGGTCGTCTGGAATAATGTAATTGGCCTAAAATGGGAGTCAAAGTCGGCAAAATCGCTGATTCGTAAGTATCGCTGACACATCAAAATTCGTGAGAGCATAATTTCGTCAATTTTCCATCAAATTTCATAGTTTTTGTTTTATTACCTTTAGAAAAAGATTCACTACCATTTCATAAGAAAAAATAACAATTTTTTTTTTTTTTAAATTCTTGGACCCTGGTGCACACTTTGAAATTTGGCCTCTGGACCCTGAAAGGGTTAAACTGTCCAAACGTAGATCTACGTTCACTTGTGTATCGCTCTTAACATAGATCTATGTTTTTTTACATGCTTTCTTATGGAGAAAATCAAGGTCAGAGCGCTATGCGAGTAAATGTAGATCTACGTTTGGGCAGTTTAAGGGTTAAATTTTTTTTTTTTTAATATTTTTGGGTGTCTGGAACAGATTAATTGGATTTACATTATTTCTTACAGGAAATATTGCTTTGACTTTTTAACAATATGAGGTTTGGCTGAGCTTCTGGAACAGATTATGGCCAAAACTCAAGGTGCCACTGTATTATTTTCACTAATGTTTCCTAAAATCAATCACTCAATCAAGTGTATTCTCTATAAAGATTACAATGTGGGGTTTACATTTTATAGGATATTGTGTGGTTTATATATTATAAAATACTAATTACAGAGAGGGCCCCTATCAAACCTAGCATAACTAGGCATTTCAGGCAGACTAAGATTAATTCAATACTCTATATTGGTACAATTTATGGAGAATGTTGATATTAAGTCTAAGTAACTGCATTACAGTTCGTAAATTTAGCAATGTGAATGGTTTTGTCTTGGCACGATACATAGTTTCTATTGAAGCTCCTATATTGAAGTATCACAGGCAAACTTATGACTAGTTTTAGATTCATTAGGTAATAGTCTTATTACGTATTTCAATGTTTATAGTCAATTGGGCGAGTGTAAGCGTGAACTGTGGGGGAATCACAGATATCGAAGGAAGGTCTAGGTTGTTTTTTGTGTGTGTATGATACAAGAGAATAGGTGGTTTTCATGTAGTTAACTGACGGTGGGAGTGTCAGGGAGATAAGATGCTTACTAACAGTAGTTTTGAGAGTGAAATACTTTAGTATTTCTTGATGTATGAAGGTGTGTATATTGTAAAATGTAAACTAATGATAACGATAAAGATAAAGGTTTATTTCTTTGTAAAGGTTACAATGTGTAATTACAATTTTGGTTTGCTAAGTACAAAGAAAGTCACTATCATACCGGGGCATTTCGGGCAGACTAATCCTAATACACAGAAACTACTTAAAACTAGACGGATAATAATATGTTGTAACTACTTAAAACTAGACAAGATAGTAGTGGTTAACTGTATTACAATTTTATTTAATCTTAATACTAATGCAAGGTAGTCAAGGTGGAGTTTTTAAGAATAATAATCCTGAAGTTGGACATAGTAAAACAATATTACAAATAATGGTTCAGGCAGTAATATTTCATGGGCTGGCAGAAGTTTAAAAGTCTAGAGGTCACATAATATAACTAATTAGCATTTGTTTTGGTTGGATTAATTAGTATTGAGAGATAAAATGAATTTTTAGCAAAGTCCTAAATTTATAAGTAGTCGGGGGATCTTTATCGGTTCTGGTAGTGAGTTCCAGATCTTTGGGCCCTTAATGTGCATAGAGTTTTTGCATAGTGTGAAACTGACATGAGGGATGTTGAAAAGTGCTTTATGCCTTGTATTGTGACCGTGCATTCTGTTGTAACTGTCAAGGAGTAGTTTAAGTGGAGGGTTTATAGTGGAATTTAATGTTTTGTATATGTGGTAGGCACAATAATATGAGTGTATATCTCATATATTTAGCAAGTTCAGGCTTTTGAAAAGTGGTGGGGTGTGCCGTCTAGTGCAGGAGCTGGCAATCATCTGCACAGCAGCTTTTTGCTGGGTTATTGAAAGTTTAAGAGGGTTGGCTGTGGTTGATCCCCAGGCACAAATACCATAGGTGAGGTAAGGATATATTAAAGAGTGGTATAGGGTAAGGAGTGTTGTTTGTTGTACATAATATTATATCTTGGAAAGGATGCCTACTGATTTGGAAATTTTCTTGGATATGTGTTGGATGTGGGAATGGAATTCAAGATTACAGTCAAGAAGACCTAGAAATTTACCCTTAGTGTATCTTGATATGGGGAACCATTTATTGATATATTAAGTTGGATATTTAAGGCTCTGTTGCCAAATAGCATGTAGTAAGTTTTGTCTATGTCGAGAGTAAGTTTGTTGGTCATCAACCAAGTACATATTTTTGGCAGCTCATTGTTTACAGTGTTTCTAAGTACAGCTGGGTTCGAATGGGATTAGGCATAAGTAGTGTCATCTGCGAATAGAACTGGTTTAAGGAGAGGGTTGCACTAGGGATCACTGATGTAGATGAGAAAGAGAAGTGGGCCTAGGGCACTACCCTGGGGCACTCCTACAGCTACAGGCTGTATAGCAGAGTTGACTCCATTTACATATACATACTGGTGTCTGTTGTTAAGATAAGATTTTAGGTAATCAAGGGAATGTCCTCTGATGTCATAATGATTTAGTTTTAGGTGCAGGAGATTGTAGTCGACTGTATCAAATGCTTTTTGTAGGTCAATGAAGAGCCCCAGAGGATATTCATTTTTATCGAGGGTTGTAAATATGTTGTTGGGTATAAGGTAGGAATAAAGGCGCTTGTGTATTATTTTCTCGAATATTTTGGAAATTGAGGGGAAGTTTGATATGGGTCTCTAGTTGTTCAAGTCAGTTGGATCACCTCTTTTGAGGATCGGGGGTTAAACTTTCCTATCTTGAGTATAGATGGGAAGGTTGAGGACTCAACAGATTTATTAAACATTGTTGCAATAAAAGGTGACAGCACATGATCAACTTTTTTATATATGAATGGTGGCAAGTTATCCAGATGTCCTGCCTCGTTTTTTTTTTGTGATTTAATGATGAGTGAGACTTCAGTAGAATTAGCTGGAGTTAGATATAGAGTATTTGGGTAGGTGCCAATGAGGTAGTCTTTCGGCTGGATATTTGAACTAGGAATTGGACTTGATAGTTTTGATCCTACAGTAGAGAAAACATTAAATTCGAATTTGTAGATGAATGGTTCAGAGAACCGACATGTTGATAAATTAGACACATGTGCAACTCTTGGGTATCTTTATTGAGGAAACGTTTTGCCACACAATGGCTTCATCAGTCCATACGTAGGAGAAACTTGAAGAACAGGAGGAGAATGAGGTAATCAGTCCCTCAACCTTGAGTCGATGTGTTCAGTCCATCAATCTTGAATAGAATACGGCATATGAGCGGAGAAGCAGCTTATAAACCGTATGGCAGGAGAGGTGCAGCAGTCATAGGTGGTGTCACCTATGACCATAAACAGAAATATTAATATCAATCTTAAAATAATGAATCCTGTGATACTCCAATACTGAAACTATTTACTGTGCCAAAACAAAAGCATTCACATTGCTAAACTCACAAAATAGTATTTAGTCACTTAGCCATAATACCAACTTACCTCATAATTTGTAATATTTTACAATTAAGAATAAAACTAAGTCTGCCCGAAATGTGTGGAAAAAGACACTTATGTACAGTTCAGGACATTTATTAAAGGAAACGTTTCGCCACGAGTGGCTTCTTCAGTCCTAATACAGAGAAAACTAAGAAAACACACATATATAGGTCCCTCTCTAACCTCACCTCCTTAGTTCAATTACTACTACTACTACTATTACCACCTCTACCCACGCTTCACCTCACCTGACTCCCACCACTATATATATGTGTGTTTTCTTAGTTTTCTCTGTATTAGGACTGAAGAAGCCACTCGTGGCGAAACGTTTCCTTTAATAAATGTCCTGAACTGTACATAAGTGTCTTTTTCCACATCTTGTCGGTATCACCATACCATTTCCTCACTGCCCGAAATGCCTAGCCATGCTAAGCGTTCTAGTGGTACACTGTAATCATTATTTTACTACATGTAAACCACACAATAACCAAATTTCTGTAAACTCAGCATTGTAATCCTTATAGAGAATAAACTTTGAATTTGAATTTGAATGACTGCTGTTCTTCAAGTTTCCCCTACGTATGGACTGATGAAGCCACTGTGTGGCGAAACGTTTCCTCAATAAAGATACCCAAGAGTTGCACATGTGTCTAATTTATCATTAAATTCGAATAATGGTAGTGGGTGGCCAGAGCCATCCTTTGTAACTGTCCACCTTGAAGTTATAATTCTATGTACACACTGGATTTACCTTAACTGTATAACGTGGAGTGAAGAAGAGAAGGAAGAAAACCGAGTGTTTGAGAGTGTAGGATGAGAGTCCATGCGAGACACGGTGCAGTGTTTACATTGTACCAGCTGTGTGAGGGATCCTACCAGTTAGAGGATCAACACCTCTAACACCACTTCTGATCCTCCTCTCACAGGTCCTCCAGATCCTCTTTTCTTCCTCGCTATAAACTCTGAAATAAACACTCGGGGAAAATCACTCAGAGGAGCAAGATGGCTGAATCCAATGAGTGTTTCAATATCGGCAGCACAGTTAGTTGCAAAACGTGCTTTAACGAGGAGCTGCAGGGAGAGGTGGTAGCCTTCGACCCGCATGTGAAACTTCTTACTCTGAGTATCCTTTGTCAGCAGCAGCAATAGTTAGGCACTGGCGGCCATACACTGCCCAGGGAGAGAAGGGAAGGTCATAAAATTTCAGGACTTACTTTGTTTTTTTTTCCATGGTGTTTTGAAAAATTGGTATGTGGAGCCAAAAAAAAGTGCGCAGTATTTATTGGTGTGTCTAAAGAAATTACAGGATTCTGTTTAGCCCTAATTGGCAGCCGTGACTGATGGTAGGAAGGTTAACCTACCAGATTGTTGCAACGGCACTAATCATGTCTTGCAGTTGCAAATATGTTGTCTTTCCCCATATTAACATAATTCTTAACTCCTACATTGTCTTAAGACATTTTAACTTAAAGATAGTTTGAGAGTTCATAATTGTCAAAGTTATTATTATAACAATGAACTTTTTCCTGGCAAATTTATCATATTTGATTACTTGGTAATTATACCACAACTAACTCATCAAAGTAATTGTACCTGCAGAAGTTAATATATGGTTTGTTATAAGTTCAGTTTGAAATATTCTCCTGGTACCAAGTGTTTGCAAATTCTAAAGGTGGTGTGTGTGTGTTTTACTGTACATCTTATGTAATTTATATAATAATGCCTGTCTAATTATAATCACCATGGTAGATAAGCTAATTTGGCCAGAATTTAGCTCCTATTCAAAAGCATAATAAATTTGGTTTTGGTAATTATAATAAAGTTAAGCGTTAAATCCAAAAGGGGTCATCGGTAATTATAGCCCTGCCAATATACATCTTGGAATATTAGAAAGGGGAATACATGTTCGAGTAAAGATGTACGACTTCTCGCTTATTAGCATTAAATAGATACCTAGGTGTTATTCAACTGTTGTGGATCACATTTTAGAATGGACCTAATGTCTAAAGAATGTCAGCAGTACTTGGCTTACTTGGAGTAGCCCAGGTTAATAATCCAAGGAAAGTCTTGGATTTAGCTTATTTTTTTAATATGATAATTTCTCAATTGGCATCCGATAAAATTGCCAACTTTTCAAATCATTCATGTCCTAAAGTTATCGAGGTAGCAGAGTCTGTAGCCTCATTAAAATATAACCAACAACATTATTTAGATTTAGGTAGGTTAATAAAAGAATATTTTGAGGGGTCAGCATCCATGTGAACCAGTCTTGGACCAGTCCTCCAGGTGGATCAAGGCCTAATAAACCAGACTGTTACTTCTGGCTGCATGCAGTCCACTGTATAAACCACATCATTGTTACTTGTTAGGGTAGTGGTTGCTGATAGTTTTACTAAATTTATGTATGGGAGTACCCTTTGCAAGCAGAAAAATATCGGAGAATTTGCCTGATTGATTAGACAACTGCAACTGCAATATTTTGACATTTTATTATGGCAACGCTTTGCTCTCCAGGAACTTTGTCAAGCTGTTACAAACAGTACAGGGACATAGAGGGGTATAAATAGGTACAGAGTGAGGTACAGAGCATAATGTAAACATAGTAGTAGTAGTTGTAACACTTGTGGTGGTAGTGGTAGCAGCTTTGTGATGGCAGGGTTTATTGCTTTGAGGAGAATTCTTGCTAATACTTCATAGAGGCTTTTATTCCTATGGAAATTGGGTTCTTTAATCACTAGGCGGGCATCGTTGAATTTCATCGGGTGGTTGGCGGAATTCCGGTGTTGAATGCATGCATTGCTCAAGTTATCGTTTCTATATGCATTAACCCTCTGACTATTTTGGTTGTATTTGTACGTCTTATGAGCCACCGTTTTTGACATATATATACTCATAAATTCTAGCTGCTTCAAATCAAGCAGGAGAAAGCTGGTAGGCCCACATGTGAGAGAATGGGTCTGTGTGGTCAGTGTGCACCACAAAGAAATCCTGCGGCACGTAGTGCATAATGAGAAAAAAAACTCCGTTTTTTTTTAATTAAAATGTCAACTTTGTGGTCTATTTTCGTATAGTATTTATGGTTGTATTCTCATTTTCTTGGTCTCATTTGATAGAATGGAAAACATATTATAGAAAGAGAGGTGATTTTTATTGGTTTTACTATGAAAAGAACCTTGAAATGGAGCTCAAAGTATGGGAAATGTTTAATTTTTGCCGATGTTCAAAAGTAAACAAATGATGTCATTTTCCAATAAATGTCCAATTAGCCATTCTAATACTGTATGCAGTCATGAATGGGTTGACATTATTTATACAATTATTACAATATTGCAATAGTCTGCATAACAGTAAATCTTCTATTTTTTGTTTGAATAAAAATTCAAAATAGAAAGCAAGAGTAATATCAGAGGGGCTGGGAGACGTGACTGATGAACAAAGAAAATGTTATTTTAGAGCCAGGAATGTCTGCATTGTTCATGCTGGACCCCATTTTGAAATTGTCATATGTTTTAATTTTTGTGAAATTGGCCAAATTGCAAATTTCTGACCACGTTTTTGGGTAGTTGAAATCGGTAAATGGGCAGTTTCTTGTACTCAATCGATAGAAAAAATGGAGTTCTAAAGAAATAGCTATGAATTTGGTCAACTGAAACAATGGAATTAGCCGAAAATAGGGCTCAAAGTGGGCAAACTTGCCGATTCGTAAATATCGCCGAGGTTGCTAACTTCATGAGAGTGTAATTCCATCAGATTTCGTTCTTTTGGTGTCATTACAATTGGAAAAAGATTCTCTATCATTTCATAAGATTTTTTTTTTTGAAATTTTGCGATACCAGGAGACTCCTCAGGATTTGGGGTTGCGACAGTCAAGGGGTTAATGTTACCACTACTACTACCACCGTAGGTATTACAACTACCACTACTACAATGATTGTACAGTGGAACCTCAAATTTCGAACTTAATCCGTTCCAGGAGCTAGCTCCCATAAGAAATAATGGAAATACAATTAATCCGTTCCAGAAACCCAAAAATATTTAAAAAAAAAAAAAATACATTTTATAGAGATTAATTACAGTTTTACATACACACAACAAATGCTATAGTCTTTAATTATGTATAGTAATATAAAATAACATTTTTACTTACCTTTATTGAAGATTGGTGATGGCATCTGGAAGATAGGGAGGAGGAGAGAGGGAGTTGGGGTTATTGTTTGGAAGGAGAATCTCCCTCCATGAGGACTTCCGGTATCAAAGCCCTCTCTGAGGTTGCTTCCCTTCTCTGTATTTTAATGCCACTAAGACCAGCTTGAGAGTCATTGGACCCCAGTCTCGCAAAATAACTGTCTACAGTCCTCTGTTTCTGTCTCACAAAATAACTGTCCACAATCGTCTGTTTCTCACAAAAAACTCCACATTCGTCTGTTTCTGTCTCACAAAATAACTGTCCACAGTCGTCTGTTTCTGTCTCAAAATAACTGTCCACAATCGTCTGTTTGTCTCACAAAATAACTCCACAGTTGTCTGTTTCTGTCTCACAAAATAACTCCACAGTCGTCTGTTTCTGTCTCACAAAATAACTGTCCACAATCGTCTGTTTGTCTCACAAAATAACTCCACAGTTGTCTGTTTCTGTCTCACAAAATAACTCCACAGTCATCTGTTTCTGTCCCACAAAATAACTGTCCACAGTCCTCTGTACATCCTGGCAAGCTCAACAAGTCTCACTCCAATCTCATACTTCTGTATTATTTCCTTCTTCACATCTATGGTGTTTCTCACTTTCTTTACCACAGGGGTACTGCTAGCAAGTTTCTTTGAGCCCATGGCAGCATATTTCACAGCCCCACAAGCACTAAACACAATTAAATAATCGTAAAATGTGTGAATGAGATCGCAGGTTAGTGTTCACTCAAGCATAAACAAAGCTAGACTGCTCACGGCGCCTGCAGGGACGTGGACAGAGTGGGCCAGCGGACAGGTTCCGTACCCGGCGGTCCGAAAATAGGGGCGCGTTCGATAATAGGGACACAGTTTGTCCGAAAAAATGGTCTTATTTTCGAAACGTTCGATATGTGATACATTCGATTTTTGAGGTTCCACTGTATTATGCTTTGCACCTCACTCTGTACCTATATGTACTCCTATGTGTTCCTGTACTGTTTCTAATGGCTTCACAAAGCACCTGGAGAATGAAATGTTGCCACAATAAAATGTCGCATTAGTTGTATTTGTGTCCTTTTACCTAACATATTGTTAGTAATTGTACCAACATTATTACAGTAATTTGGTTACAGCAGTAAGATCATTGGCATTCCTTTGGTAGCTAATCGGATAACATACCTTGCCTAATACACCTTACTGATCACCTCAGGCTCAAAATATGAAAAAAAAAATCACAGTAAAGGTAACAGTAATGGCAACTTAAAAAAAAAAAAAAAGCATTTGGCCCCTTATGGGGCCAGTGAAGAGCTCTTAATTCAGAGAATTAGACCTATCCTCGTTTTCCCTGGATCAAACCTAATTACCTCCTATTCTTCAGTTGCTATGAGTGTATAGGTACCCCTCTGTATAAAAATATGATAGTAATGTAATACACTTAATACATTTCATTGACACTAAATATGGCAATTGCGTAAGTGTAGATTCCTATTTCCATGCTCTCTACTAATTACACTAATTTTATTGTAGCATATGCAGTCTGCTTGTAGTGTTCTTGAAGGGTTCTTGGTAAATAACTACTGTGTATGTACTTCCTTAACACATCACTTCAGAAGCAGCAGCAAGCAGTGGACGTGCATCTTTATGTGACATTCGCATGGTGAATCTTAGCTATGTTTCACACGTTACAGTGTTGAGGGAAGCGGCTGGATCCCCTTTACCCTCCCTGCCATCTTTAAATCTTGCTAAGGTTTGCATTTTCACATTATAGATAGTAAATGAATGAGTTTCTAGAGGAAGCTTGATTAGGCTGTTAGATTAGCCATGATGTGTGCTTGTGTGTTATTCTGTTTCAGCTTTCACATACACAAAAATTACATGTGGGGATGAGAGAACATACCCCTACAATATATTTATTTGTTATATTTTTTAAAAAGAAAGGTGTTATTAAAAATTGTATACAGTACACCATTATATAGTATAGTACTAGGGGGAGGGAGCACAACTTTGTACCCACAGTCATTGGCCAGGCTTCAAACACCTTTTATTGTACAGCAATAAAGGAATGGAACAGACTACCCGCACATGTCAAAGCCAGTCATAGCATGAACCAGTTCAAGAAGAGTGCCAAAAGGTGTCTGATGAATGTAGCTACAGAAAGGGAGGGGAATGATTTTCTATTTTTTTAGCTAACATACGTGTAAATTTTACCTTATTCCTAGTAATGACCCTCATATTGTAGATAGTCTTTTTAGTATGATAATAAGATGTTATCTTCATTGTAGAATAATAAGAAAATATTATAACCTTTATATTATAATAATAAGGTAAAAGGACCCCAATGGAAATAAGTCACTCTGTCTGACTTTTTTGGGTTATCCTAGGTTCTCTACACATATGCTGCTATGTATGATAATTCTATGTAACTGTATTTGTGTATACCTGAATAAACTTACTTATTACATGGTAGTTACGTTCCTGAAAACACTGTGTTAGGTAAATGTGTGTTAGATAAACTGAAGAACTTGTTGGAAAAATAGGGTTATGTTTCTGGGAGCCCCATGAAAGCCTAACAACTTTTTATTAGACCTCCAGATCTTACAAAAATAAAAGTGAATCTCTAATTGTTGTTCATTGTAATGATGTATTATGTTGCTTTTACTGCTTATGATTACAAATGCAACAGAAATAATAGTATTTCTTACCTTAAATTGTGGGTGCTGGTGTTTGTCAATGATTGTGGAAAGTTATACTGTGGGCCCTACTGGGTTGAGGTAGATGGTAGAGGTTCTGGTACTAAAGTCAATGGTTATACTGGAGTGTGCATAAATTCTGTAATGGATTTCTGGGTTATTTTACCCTGCAGTACATTAACAGGTGATGGTAAGGCATCAGCTGCTCTAGACACTGTTTCAGAGCACTGCTTCTAGATTTGTCAGGTTTCTCTTCAGTGAAAAAGTCTAACTTTAAGTCAGTCAGTCAGTCAGTAAGACAGTCAGTCAGTCAGTCAGTAAGACAGTCAGTCAGTCAGTCAGTCCGTCAGTAAGAGTCAGTCAGTCAGTCAGTCAGTCAGTAAGACAGTCAGTCAGTCAGTCAGTAAGACAGTCAGTCAGTCAGTCAGTAAGACAGTCAGTCAGTCAGTCAGTCAGTAAGACAGTCAGTCAGTCAGTAAGACAGTCAGTCAGTCAGTAAGACAGTCAGTCAGTCAGTAAGAGAGTCAGTCAGTCAGTAAGACAGTCAGTCAGTCAGTAAGACAGTCAGTCAGACAGTCAGTCAGTCAGTAAGACAGTCAGTCAGTCAGTAAGACAGTCAGTCAGTCAGTAAGATAGTCAGTAAGACAGTCAGTCAGTCAGTAAGACAGTCAGTCAGTCAGTAAGACAGTCTGTAAGTCAGTAAGACAGTCAATCAGTCAGTCAGTAAGACAGTCAGTCAGTCAGTAAGACAGTCAGTCAGTCAGTAAGACAGTCAGTCAGTCAGTAAGACAGTCAGTCAGTCAGTAAGACAGTCAGTCAGTCAGTAAGAGTCAGTCAGTCAGTAAGACAGTCAGTCAGTCAGTAAGACAGTCAGTCAGTCAGTAAGACAGTCAGTCAGTCAGTAAGACAGTCAGTCAGTCAGTAAGACAGTCAGTCAGTCAGTAAGACAGTCAGTCAGTCAGTAAGACAGTCAGTCAGTCAGTAAGACAGTCAGTCAGTCAGTAAGACAGTCAGTCAGTCAGTAAGACAGTCAGTCAGTCAGTAAGACAGTCAGTCAGTCAGTAAGACAGTCAGTCAGTCAGTAAGACAGTCAGTCAGTCAGTAAGACAGTCAGTCTGTCAGTAAGACAGTCAGTCTGTCAGTAAGACAGTCAGTCAGTCAGTCAGTCAGTCAGTCAGTCAGTAAGACAGTCAGTCAGTCAGTAAGACAGTCAGTCAGTCAGTAAGACAGTCAGTCAGTCAGTAAGACAGTCAGTCAGTCAGTAAGACAGTCTGTAAGTCAGTAAGACAGTCTGTAAGTCAGTAAGACAGTCTGTAAGTCAGTAAGACAGTCTGTAAGTCAGTAAGACAGTCTGTAAGTCAGTAAGACAGTCTGTAAGTCAGTAAGACAGTCTGTAAGTCAGTAAGACAGTCTGTCAGTCAGTAAGACAGTCTGTAAGTCAGTAAGACAGTCTGTAAGTCAGTAAGACAGTCAGTCAGTCAGTCAGTCAGTCAGTAAGACAGTCAGTCAGTCAGTCAGTCAGTCAGTCAGTCAGTAAGACAGTCAGTCAGGTCAATAAGACAGTCATGCCAGTCAGTCAGTAAGTCAGTCAAGTCATTCTAAGTCAGTCAGTGAGATGACATCCTGGGTTAATCATTACAGAAACTCATATATTTACCTCATTCTTTTTAATTGTATAAACTGACGCTTCATTAAGGTTATAGGCACTCTCTTGTCTAATATCTATTTTCTTTTTAACTCCAAGACTTAAATACTTAAACCTTCTGGTTATTGTTGCTTGTTGACATGGAAGGGTGTGGAGATGGTTGATGCCATTCTACGAGGCTGATGTGGATGCCTGTGGTTCTTGTGTTGATGTAAAAGCAGAGTTGTCAGTAGTTGATGGTTCTGGAATGTTCAGGTGTTCTATAAATGCATCTCTTACTTGTTTACTCTGCAGTATTGACCTCCATGGCATTTTTTTTCTCAAGGTCTCAATATGCACTACTATCATATTCTTTCCACGTCTTAAATTGTACCAATGATAGATTCTCTTGGACCAAAACACTCAACAATTGAGCCCACTTAGGCTCAGGAAAAATTTTATGGCATGTAGTACAACCTTTTCTCACTTAATGACGAAGTTCTGTTCCTAAGACCACGTCATTTAACAAATTCGTTGCTAAGTGAGGAGCATACTACATATAATGTAGTGAGTTTGTGTCAACCATCTCTGATATCGTTTTAATGTCACCTTTCTACCATTTATAAAATTTCTGGTATATTTTTAATATACAGTAGTGTACTGTATATTGAAATAAATAGAATAGAGGAAATCAGCTCTAATATACATGATTTAGATATGAATACTGGACAGAGAGCCTGTTGTAAGTCCGAGGCGTCAGTAAACGAGTACTTTGCTAAGTGAGGAGAGGCTGTACTCAGGTTTTGCACGTAATTTGATGCTTTCACACTTGTGAATTGTACTGTCAAGGTTTTTTTTTAAGTTCTTTGTAAAAAAAGTGTACTTCAGTCATGTCGGTTCTCTGAACCATTCATCTACGAAATCAAACTATATAGTGTAGTGAGAGATTTTACTGTATTGTAGACATATAAGGTTATGAATTGTTGTATTAAAATATGTGCTTTATTATTATGTATTACAGTTTACTTCTAAAATAATGAAATTTAGTTAGCACAATAGTAAATATAAATATAATAGTTTGAAATTCATAGCATACTCTCCATTACAATATGTAGGGGTGAGTACTGCACTGTAAATTACAGTAGCATCTTTAATGTGCACTTTTTTCTCAACAGCTTAATAGTCGTGCAAAGAGAAGCATAGAAGAAAAACAACGATTAATCCAGGCAATGCAGTCTGGGGTCTCTCCTGATGGTCAAAAGCTGTTCCTAACCATTTGTAAAACGTAAGATATTCTGTTGTTAACACACTTCCTTCCCTGGAATACTGTCCCCTTCTGGCAAGTTATGAGTATTAATTATGTTAAACTATATTTTATCTTCATAATTCTTAAGTGTTTGGAGTTCAGCTGGAGCTGTGTATGCCAATTAGTACTTCTGCTGGCTAAAACTTCCACACTTTGAGGTCTTAGTCGTTAGAAAAATGATGTACATTGGAAGAGACAATGTGGAAAAGAACACTGCAAATGAAGAAGGCGTTTGGATCATAATGAACAATTTTGCAAGGAAAAATGCAGTTTCCTTATTTGCACAAAAAGTGACAGATTTGGCTAAAGTCACAAGATAAATGCAGTGTAAATGTATTAGGATTACAATCAAAAAAGGACTGATCTTAAAAATTATTACTTTTTGCCAGCAAGTTTTCAAGGAAAGTCTTTAGAAAGCATAAGAGTATTGTAAAACACTAAAGAAATATCATTGTGAAATTGTTTAGAAGCTTCTTCATCATGGCTTACTTTCTCCAATAGGAGTTCATGAAAGAAATAAGACATAAATAATATACTGTAATTAAAAATAATTCACTTGCTTATTTGCTTGCCCATCTTATGTTTTTATAGTGAAAATAGCTATCAAGTGCTTTACTTTTTAAGTAACAAACTGCTGTGTAAAACTCATCAAGATATGTTTTGTCATTTGTTCTTAAAGATATGAAAATGTTTGATGTTCAAGTGTTACAGAAAATTCCACATACGTTGTCTTGCTTTTGATGTCAGTAGACAGTTATATTTGTTTAAGATGAATGTACTTAGGAATGTTTTATTTTCCTTAAAAAAAAAAAACCTATGGATCATTTGTACCCTTCATTTTTCTTATCCATTTCATTAAGTTATTTCTTTTATTTTTCCTTCTGAGAGCCACATCCATGTGCTTAAAAAGACTTGCTGGCATAATTCATGTATTGAACGACTTTAAAATAATCTTCTCAGTCTTCAAAACTTTGATTAGGTAATCAGTGGATACTTTTCTATGTTTATATAATCAGTTTGAGCTCTTCTGATGTTGGTTCTTTGTTCTGGGATATGGTTAAACCACTCTGAAGGAATTTTTTGACCCTTTGAAGTAGGGGATGAGGGGGGTGTATGATGCTGGTGAAGGGCGTTTGATTTGAGGAATAGAGTTAGCCTTCCTTTCCTCCAATCAAACTAAATTACTTCTCAATTCCCAGGTGATGTGAATATTTTAGAGGTTTAATGTTGACCAGTGAATAATTGTAATCAGATTTTGGACCATCTGTAATTACCTAGATTCAGTACTTCAGTAGATATTTACTTGTACGTATGTGTAATTCCTTGAGTAGCAATTTTTGTTTAAATCCAGAATTCTTAATCTTGATTTTGAATACTGTGCATCATTGCTTTATCACTTAATTTTTAAGAAAAGAATTTTGTTGAATGCAAAAGCAGTTACAATTATAGTAGTAGTTCTTATCTGGGAATTTCAGATTAGCATCAATAATTTACTTGGTACCTTGAATCCAGTAGCAAGAATCATTTTCAAATAATGTATGGGAAAGTATATAAAGTAGTTAAAGATAGCCCCAAACTGTCTCCTGAAAAGCTCAGATAATTGATATAAGTTCTTGCTAATAAATAAAAAATGAGTTTCTTCCTGGTTGCTTCTTTCTAGACACTACCCACCAAGTGGAACATTATACAGTAATTACATAATAACATCAGATGTATGCCCTACATCTCAGCCATGGGAAGTCAAGGCACTGCACATTTGGGCCAGTGAATGTTGAGAGAAAATGGCCAATGTAACAATGTGTTGAATAAATTGTTCTGCATTTAGTTCTGTAGCCATTAATAATTTTCTTTTGGGTTTAATGTTTTCCTTGAATATAATAATAAGAATAATAATTTTGTTGTAGCAGTGATTTGTGGTTATTTTGTCATTCTGTTAAATCGATATCTGTTTAATTAAACCATATTTCAACATATTATATTCCTGCTTATCATCTGCTATCATTTTGTGTGTTATATATATAGTCACTTGAAAAAAATCAGTATCTAGTCCTTTGGGGGGTCAGTCAGATACTCTGGGTTGTCTTGTGGTCACCCTGAAAGATGGCTTTGGCATTCATCACCAAATACTATAGTGCAACAAAATTATATCTAAAAAAAAATTTAAATCAAGTAATAAACAGAGGAAATAAGAAAGATTTGAAATAACATCAGTATCTAATCCCACTATTGTTTTTGGGTAATTTAAACTTAATAATATTGCTGTAATATTGTATTTATCTTGTCTTACTGTAATGTTATTTTGGCTAAATATAAACACTATTAAAATAGTTAATTTTGTAGCATTTTTTTTTACCTAAGAATTATCTGGCCAAGAGAATATATAATGAAAATTAATATGACAGTGTTGCTGGAGATAAGTTACTTAAATTATGAACTTAAGTCTAATCAGCTTTCTTAAATACTGCTGGAACATCTTTAAAGTGCTTGGATTGCAATATGTTTAATAGAGTTTAGGTAATTTAAAAATAGCAAATGCAGTACCTGGTCAGGCCTTTCCTTCACACAAAAATATAAATTTACTGGTGTAAGAGATTTAGGTTAAGTTAAACAGTTCAAAGTATGGGTGCCCTAAGCACAGTCAGAGAATGCAGCATAAACACGTGTCATTGCTCCAAAGTTTAATCTTATACCAGCAATTGTAAGGAAGAGTTGGGTGTTAATAAATATGTAAAATACTGTATCTTTAACAGTACTGTATTACTTTCTTATCTTCAGATTAATTCTTCCTCATATAGGTGGTAAATGATGTAAGAAATGTTACTAGCATCAGAATTGGTAACTTCAGTAGAATATGACAAGTTTATTCAAAAAGTGCCTGATCAGCCAAGTTATGATCATTATATTGGCTTGCAGGCTGCAAGCAGTAACAGATTGAGTGGTCATGCAGTCACTAGGAACTCTTGGCTCAGGCCATGGTGCGAGAATAGGTCTCAGAACCATCTTCAGGTAATACATATACCTATCATTGGTGTGTTCATCTGAACATTATCATATCCATATCTTACTTATAACTGATACCTGCAGAATTATGATGTAAATTTGTTTTTTAGCAATAATTAGAATGACTCAGGTTTTAAGTGCAAAAGTGAGTTATGACCTAATTCTTGTATAACTTTAAACTTCCACATACAGGATAGAAGAGGTGACGTGGGCTGGAACCAGCATCCTGGTGATGGGTCAGGTACTCATCTCGCCACCATACATGCCAGAGAATGTCAGAGAGCATAAGGAAGGCAAAGAAACTAATGCCAAGACTCTTAGTTACATCAGGAAAATAGTATGTAATTTATTGTATTTGTTAACTTTTTAAAATAAAATTGTTCACTGTTAAGAAGTGCTTACTGTATTAATTAATGTTTTGATAATGTTAAAGTTGGCATATTTATTGGCACTCTCTGTATGTTAAATATTTTTAAAATGTTTTGTCATAGACTGAAAACTCTACAGTATATGGAGTATATTTGTCCTTCATTATAATGCTGTAGTTTGTTAGAAACTAAGGTGTATGAGAAGTGCCTCAGGCAGATCTGCAAGGATAGAAGAACCCTTAAAACTGGCCACTGATACATATACAATTTTTTTTTAACACTAGCCATCTGTCACAAAGGCAGGGTGACCCAAAAAAGAAGAAATGCTTTCATAAAGTTTTTCTTCTTTTTACATTTAGTAATTTATGAAGGAGAAAGGGTTACTAGCTCCTTGCTCCCAGCATATTAGTTGTCTCTTATGACACACATGGTTAATGGAGGAAAAATTCTTCTCTACTTTCCCATGGAGGACATGTGCATTTATGAACAAACATAATTAAAGATATTGTAAGTTCATTCTTTAATGAAATAATTAAAAAAAAAAGAAAATTGATTATGTATTGAGTGTTTATGGTACATAAAGTTTAATTGAATATTAAGGAAGAGGGTTCCATTAAGTTTAATGGAGCCTTCTTCCTTCAGTTCAATTAAGCATAAGCAAAATTTATAAAATAATCACAGTAGTTTAGATAGCTGTTTAGATATCATTTTGGAAATACTGTATTGTATATGAAAACTTTAAGTTTTGGTTTAGAGAGATGAAGGATGGTGTATTGAGTTCTTGTAGTAGGAAACATGTAATGTACCTAGAGTTTACCTGGAGAGGGTTTCGGGGGCCAGTGTCCCCGTGGCCCAGTCTGAGACCAGGCCTCATGTATGATTATAATAACTTAAGAAATGTGCATTTGAGATGAATATTGAACCTCTGGTGGAGGGATTTGAGGGGTGTTAATGTTGCAGTTTAAAAACTGTAGTGTAAAGCACCCTTCTGGCAAGACAGTGGAGTGAATGATGGTGAAAGTTTTTCTTTTTTGGGCCACCCTGCCTTGGTGGGAATCGGCCAGTGTGTTAATAAAAAAAAAAAAAAAAAGAGTGAGGCATGAATTGTGTAGTGGCTAAAATGTTAGAGATAGTTTAGGAATTTTTCAGTAAAAAAATTTTTTCCCCACCTAGGCAGGGTGACCCAAAAAGAAAGAAAATCCCCAAAAAGAAAATACTTTCATCATCATTCAACACTTTCACCTCACTCATACATAATCACTGTCTTTGCAGAGGTGCCAAGATACAACAGTTTAGAAGCATATGTAAAGATATATAACATATTGCTCCAAACTGCCAATATCCCAAACCCCTCCTTTAAAGTGCAGGCATTGTACTTCCCATTTCCAGTACACAAGTTCGGCTATAAAAAAAAATAACCGGTTTCCCTGAATCCCTTCACTAAATATTACCCTGCTCACACTCCAACAGCTCGTGAGGTCCCAAAAAATCATTCATCTCCATTCACTCCTATCTAACATGCTCATGCATGTAAAGTAAAAGGACACAAGTGCAACTAATGTGACATTTATTGTGGCAACGTTTCGCTCTCCAGGAGCTTTATCAAGTCATTACAAACAATACATGGACACAGAGGATATATAAAGGCTCTGAGTGAGGTGCAATACTAGTGAGGTACCCTTTCGATGTTCACTAGTGGTAGTAGTAGTAGTAGTAGTAACAAAAATAATACAATATGGTAGAGCAATTAATTCGTACATGAGTAAAAGGATATAAAAGCTATTACTTGGGTAACATAAAAATAGGTTGGACAAATATAGACTGGAAAGAGGCAGGTTTTTTCAGTGTTCACTCTCTGTAATGTGCTTTGTGTAGTATAACAGGAGAGACTATGTGATGGCAGGGTTTACTGTTTTCAGGAGGATTCTTGCCATCACATAGTCTCTCCTATTATACTACACAAAGCACATTACAGAGAGTGAACACTGAAAAAACCTGCCTCTTTCCAGTCTATATTTGTCCAACCTAACTTAAGAAATCGTAATGACACGATTGCAAATAAACCATACCCCCGGCCGGGATTGAACCCGCGGTCATAGAGTCTCAAAACTCCAGCCCGTCGCGCTAACCACTAGACCAGCTAGCCACAATAAGATTCATCCAACTAGGTATATTTCTACACCATAGGAAGGTTAGCACAGGCACCTCTGTGACCACAAATGCAAGTTTTTACAGACGAATCTCCAGCTAGCGTGGCCGTGACGAACTCTAGCTCAAGTCCCTTCACTGCCGTCAACATGACTTAAGAAATCGTAATGACACGATTGCAAATAAACCATACCCCCGGCCGGGATTGAACCCGCGGTCATAGAGTCTCAAAACTCCAGCCCGTCGCGCTAACCACTAGACCAGCTAGCCACAATAAGATTCATCCAACTAGGTATATTTCTACACCATAGGAAGGTTAGCACAGGCACCTCTAGTGGTTAGCGCGACGGGCTGGAGTTTTGAGACTCTATGACCGCGGGTTCAATCCCGGCCGGGGGTATGGTTTATTTGCAATCGTGTCATTACGATTTCTTAAGTCATGTTGACGGCAGTGAAGGGACTTGAGCTAGAGTTCGTCACGGCCACGCTAGCTGGAGATTCGTCTGTAAAAACTTGCATTTGTGGTCACAGAGGTGCCTGTGCTAACCTTCCTATGGTGTAGAAATATACCTAGTTGGATGAATCTTATTGTGGCTAGCTGGTCTAGTGGTTAGCGCGACGGGCTGGAGTTTTGAGACTCTATGACCGCGGGTTCAATCCCGGCCGGGGGTATGGTTTATTTGCAATCGTGTCATTACGATTTCTTAAGTCATGTTGACGGCAGTGAAGGGACTTGAGCTAGAGTTCGTCACGGCCACGCTAGCTGGAGATTCGTCTGTAAAAACTTGCATTTGTGGTCACAGAGGTGCCTGTGCTAACCTTCCTATGGTGTAGAAATATACCTAGTTGGATGAATCTTATTGTGGCTAGCTGGTCTAGTGGTTAGCGCGACGGGCTGGAGTTTTGAGACTCTATGACCGCGGGTTCAATCCCGGCCGGGGGTATGGTTTGTCCAACCTATTTTTGTTATCCAAATAATAGCTTTTATATCCTTTTACTCATGTACGAATTAATTGCTCTACCATATTGTATTATTTTTGTTACTACTACTACTACCACTAGTGAACATCGAAATGGTACCTCACTAGTATTGCACCTCACTCAGAGCCTTTATATACCCTCTGTGTCCATGTATTGTTTGTAATGGCTTGATAAAGCTCCTGGAGAGCGAAACGTTGCCACAATAAATGTCACATTAGTTGCACTTGTGTCCTTTTACTTTACATATTGTCGGTAATTCTACCAACTTTATTACATGCTCATGCATGCTTGCTGGAAGCCCAAGCCCTTCACCCACAAAACCTCCTTTATTCCCTCCAACCTTTTCAAGGATGACCCCTACCCCACCTTCCTTCCCCTACAGATTTATGCACTCTCCAAGTCATTCTACTTTGATCCATTCTCTCTAAATTACCAAACCACCTCAACAACCCCTCTTCAGCCCTCTGACTAATACTTTTATTAACTTCACACTTTTTCTTAATTTCCACACTCCGAATTCTCTGCATAATATTTACACCACACATTGCCCTTAGACAGGACATTTCCACTGCCTCCATCTGCCTCCTCATTGCAGCATTTTCAACCCAAGCTTCACACCCATATAAGAGTGTTGGTACCACTATACTTTCATACATTCCCTTCTTTGCCTCCATTGAAAACATTTTTTGTCTCCACAAATACCTCAATGCACCACTCGCCTTTTTTCCTTCATCAATTCTGTGATTAACTTCATCCTTCATAAACCCATCTGCTGACACATTAACTCTCAAATATCTGAAAACAATCACTTCTTACATAATCCCTCTCTCCAGTGTGATATCCAATTTTTCTTTATCTAAATCGTTTGATACCCTCATCACCTTACTCCCAGTTGTGAGTGTGGGGGAAGTTCATGAGGCAGTAGGTAAAATGAAAGGGGGTAAGGCAGCCGGGATTGATGGGATAAAGATAGAAATGTTAAAAGCAGGTGGGGATATAGTTTTGGAGTGGTTGGTGAAATTATTTAATAAATGTATGGAAGAGGGAAAAGTACCTAGGGATTGGCAGAGAGCATGCATAGTTCCTTTGTATAAAGGCAAAGGGGATAAAAGAGAGTGCAAAAATTATAGGGGGATAAGTCTGTTGAGTATACCTGGTAAAGTGTATGGTAGAGTTATAATTGAAAGAATTAAGAGTAAGACGGAGAATAGGATAGCAGATGAACAAGGAGGCTTTAGGAAAGGTAGGGGGTGTGTGGACCAGGTGTTTACAGTGAAACATATAAGTGAACAGTATTTAGATAAGGCTAAAGAGGTCTTTGTGGCATTTATGGATTTGGAAAAGGCGTATGACAGGGTGGATAGGGGGCAATGTGGCAGATGTTGCAAGTGTATGGTGTAGGAGGTAGGTTACTGAAAGCAGTGAAGAGTTTTTATGAGGATAGTGAGGCTCAAGTTAGAGTATGTAGGAAAGAGGGAAATTTTTTCCCAGTAAAAGTAGGCCTTAGACAGGGATGTGTGATGTCACCGTGGTTGTTTAACCAAATCTGGAGTCACGCACCAGTGTCCAAGAATTTTCAAAAAAAAAATTTGTTATTTTTTCTTATGAAATCGTAGAGAATCTTTTTGTGAAGGTAATAAAACAAAAAGTACGAAATTTGGTGGAAAATTGACGAAATTATGCTCTCGCGAATTTTGATGTGTCAGTGACATTTACGAATCGGCGATTTTGCCGACTTTGACTCCCATTTTAGGCCAATTACATTATTCCAATCAACCAAATTCTTAGCTATTTCACTAGTATTACTTCTATTCTATCGATTGAGCACAAGAAATCGCCA